TGCTGCTACTGTTGCTACTGCTGCTACCGCTGCTTTTGCTACTGCTACTGCTGCTGCTGCTGCCTGCTGCTACTACTACTACTACTACTACTACTACTACTACTACTACTACTATTCCTACTACTATCACTGTTACTATGGCTATTGCGTCACTGTGAGTATTGTTGTAGGATGGCCAACTCTTCCGGCAGGGGCATCTAACAGAACTTGCTGTTGCCCTGCAGGCTTGAGACGAGACTACAAAGCCGTTTCACGCTGCAAGTTTTTAAAGATCATAATCACCTTCTACGTTTCTTAGATTTCAGCTTCAGCGTTGAACAATCTAAGGGTTTGGGCAGCTTGGGTTTGGCCAGAGCGCGTAAGCAGTAAGCAGTTCGTGGCGAGTTCTACACATGGGGAGTATAGCGTTTATACTGTTGATGGACGCAAGCTTGCACCATCCAGAGTCCCTTAAGCACTGTAAGTAATTCTCAGGAATTGAGGGACCTAGGGTGGTACAAGATTTCCTACATCAGCAGTATAGGGATGTACTGGGACTTCTGGGTGCCACATTTGGGCTTAAGTTACCATGATGCAGAATTACAGGCAAAAGCATTGGACTTCTTTGACAAATATTTGGGCTTGTGTGCTCAGCTTGGAGTGGCTGAATTCAGGTATCCAATGCCAGCAGAAAAGATTAGTCACCTGCATCCCCTTCTACTTCTCAAGCCGCTGCCTTTCCTCCCCAAGACGGAGTCTGCAGAAACCTATTGACTCGAACAGAATAAGCTTACGTACCGCGTGGTACTGTTGCAGCTTAGCATCGCCACCTGGACGACAAAAGTCTGGGAGGCAATCCAATCCTGCCATTCCTTGAAGCGCGCAAACGCGCACAATCTGGATCGGATAGTGGAATGGGTTAAGCCCGGGTGGTGGTGATGGGTCGCAGGATGGCCCTTCTCCAATACATTGTCGGCAGCTGCACCTGGATAGATTCAAAGCTAATACGATTTGCGACATCTATTGCTTTGCCACCCCAGTAAGAAGAACCCACATGACGAACTTCAATGGTTGCCTGCCAGAACTGGAAGGTTGGGCGTATTGACTTGTGCAGTTGTCCAGCAAGCGATGCAATATTGAAGCAGGTTTGACTTCAACTGCTGCAGGCTTTGAAGAAGTAAGAGCGTCCCGGTAGTCCAGCCAGGTTTGGTCAGCGTTGTCGCCGTCACTGGGCACAGGCCACACCTTGCCAAGCTGGCCGTCCAGATCTTTTGGGGTCTTGGGAGTACTACAAACTGTACTCAATCAGTGGTGAACTTGCTGGTCGTAATCCTTCAAAGTAGCCGATGGAGGGAACCCAGAGGTCCTTAAAGGGTCTGTCCTCGGCGCCTAGGGATCTACATGGTAGTTTCCCACAAATAGAGGGACCCCAATATAGATCCCAAAATACTATACGTAATCCTTACTATGCGGACCCCCAAAACAACACCGAAGCCCCCACAAGGCTAAGGAACTGCAACCACCTGGTGCTGGCCACTTTACCCTAAACTCTAAACCCTAAACCCTAATCCCCACCAAAAACCCTGCCACAACCAGCCAGCCTGTCTGGACCCTTCCTGTGACAGGCCTTAGGCCGGCGACAGCATGCTGATACCAAAGGCTTCTACTGTCATGATACCCCCGAATCTTGGAAAATACCACCCCCATAATGTTGCATATTCCCAATATACTATAGCATACGACAATGATACGACTTTTTAAGACTTAAAGTTAGAGAGGTGGGTGGTTCTTAATATTAGCGGGAGGAAATTAGGCAGAGTCACGGGAAGGTGAGGGGAAGGCAAGGTCAGGTCTGATCGGCTCATGAACGCAGGTCGGGAATGTTGGGGGGGAGCCTCAAGATATTTAAATTCAGGGATGCTGCGCTAGCTTCTGCCAGGGGCTGACTTTGCAAAAACCGTCGTGAACTTTTCGCAGTTCAGATACCTACAGATACCTGCAGCTTTTTGCTATTGATTCTGTTGCTCCTCCCTAGCTAGTCCCTCGTAGCACCTTGTATTGGATCAGAACCTGACGATCTCGATCTATGTTGAAGTAAGCAGCTGGACACCTTAACCGACTGGAGGTAGGTCTGGCCAAAGGAGGATGACCGAAGAGGCGATGCCTCATTTTGGAGAACAGATGCGCACTTCAGACTTACACCAGCTGATCACCAACACCCCTTCCCACAGCGATCTGCCGAGCACGTTGAAAGAGGATTCTTCCCAGATAATTGCCTGTGAGTAGCACAAGCCAAAGAAGGCTGCTGAT